CAGTGTAAGACATAAAACAGTGTAAGACATAAAACAGAGTAAGGCATAAAACAGTGTAAGACATAAAACAGTGTAAGACATAAAACAGAGTAAGACATAAAACAGAGTAAGGCATAAAACAGTGTAAGACATAAAACAGTGTAAGACATAAAACAGAGTAAGGCATAAAACAGTGTAAGACATAAAACAGTGTAAGACATAAAACAGAGTAAGACATAAAACAGTGTAAGACATAAAACAGGTAAGACATAAAAGGTACATAAAACAGAGTAAGACATAAAAACAGAGTAAGCATAAAACAGAGTAAGACATAAAACAGTGTAAGACATAAAACAGGTAAGACATAAAACAGTGTAAGACATAAAACAGGTAAGACATAAAACAGTGTAAGACATAAAACAGTGTAAGACATAAAACAGAGTAAGACATAAAACAGTGTAAGACATAAAACAGAGTAAGCATAAAACAGTGTAAGACATAAAACAGTAAGACTAAAACAGGAGACATAAAACAGTGTAAGACATAAAACAGTGTAAGACATAAAACAGTGTAAGACATAAAACAGTGTAAGACATAAAACAGTGTAAGACATAAAACAGTGTAAGACATTAAAACAGAGTAAGACATAAAACAGTGTAAGACATAAAACAGTGTAAGACATAAAACAGTGTAAGACATAAAACAGTGTAAGACATAAAACAGTGTAAGACATAAAACAGAGTAAGACATAAAACAGTGTAAGACATAAAACAGAGTAAGACATAAAACAGTGTAAGACATAAAACAGTGTAAGACATAAAACAGTGTAAGACATAAAACAGTGTAAGACATAAAACAGTGTAAGACATAAAACAGTGTAAGACATAAAACAGTGTAAGACATAAAACAGTGTAAGACATAAAACAGTGTAAGACATAAAACAGGTAAGACATAAAACAGTGTAAGACATAAAACAGTGTAAGACATAAAACAGTGTAAGACATAAAACAGTGTAAGACATAAAACAGAGTAAGACATAAAACAGTGTAAGACATAAAACAGTGTAAGAGCATAAAACAGTGTAAGACATAAAACAGTGTAAGACATAAAACAGTAGTAAGACATAAAACATGTAAGACATAAAACAGTGTAAGACATAAAACAGTGTAAGACATAAAACAGTGTAAGACATAAAACAGTGTAAGACATAAAACAGTGTAAGACATAAAACAGGTAAGACATAAAACAGAGTAAGACATAAAACAGTGTAAGACATAAAACAGTGTAAGACATAAAACAGTGTAAGACATAAAACAGTGTAAGACATAAAACAGTGTAAGACATAAAACAGTGTAAGACATAAAACAGTGTAAGACATAAAACAGTGTAAGACATAAAACAGAGTAAGACATAAAACAGTGTAAGACATAAAACAGTGTAAGACATAAAACAGAGTAAGACATAAAACAGTGTAAGACATAAAACAGTGTAAGACATAAAACAGAAGTAAGACATAAAACAGTGTAAGACATAAAACAGTGTAAGACATAAAACAGTGTAAGACATAAAACAGGTAAGACATAAAACAGTGTAAGACATAAAACAGAGTAAGACATAAAACAGTGTAAGACATAAAACAGTGTAAGACATAAAACAGGTAAGACATAAAACAGTGTAAGACATAAAACAGTGTAAGACATAAAACAGTGTAAAACATAAAACAGTGTAAGACATAAAACATTGTAAGACATAAAACAGTGTAAGACATAAAAAGGTAAGACATAAAACAGATGTAAGACATAAAAACAGTAGTAAGACATAAAACAGAGTAAGACATAAAACAGATGTAAGACATAAAACAGTGTAAGACATAAAACAGTGTAAGACATAAAACAGAGTAAGACATAAAACAGGTAAGACATAAAACAGTGTAAGACATAAAACAGTGTAAGACATAAAACAGTGTAAGACATAAAACAGTGTAAGACATAAAACAGTGTAAGACATAAAACAGTGTAAGACATAAAACAGAGTAAGACATAAAACAGTGTAAGACATAAAACAGTGTAAGACATAAAACATGTAAGACATAAAACAGTGTAAGACATAAAACAGGTAAGACATAAAACAGTGTAAGACATAAAACAGTGTAAGACATAAAACAAGTAAGACATAAAACAGTGTAAGACATAAAACAGTGTAAGACATAAAACAGTGTAAGACATAAAACAGTGTAAGACATAAAACATGTAAGACATAAAAACAGTGTAAGACATAAAACAGTGTAAGACATAAAACAGTGTAAGACATAAAACAGTGTAAGACATAAAACAGTTGTAAGACATAAAACAGTGTAAGACATAAAACAGTAGTAAGACATAAAACAGTGTAAGACATAAAACAGTGTAAGACATAAAACAGTGTAAGACATAAAACAGTGTAAGACATAAAACAGTGTAAGACATAAAACAGTGTAAGACATAAAACAGAGTAAGACATAAAACAGTGTAAGACATAAAACAGTGTAAGACATAAAACAGTGTAAGACATAAAACAGAGTAAGACATAAAACAGTGTAAGACATAAAACAGTGTAAGACATAAAACACTGTAAGACATAAAACAGTGTAAGACATAAACCCTGTAAGACATAAAACAGTGTAAGACATAAAACAGTGTAAGACATAAAACAGTGTAAGACATAAAACAGTGTAAGACATAAAACAGTGTAAGACATAAAACAGTGTAAGACATAAAACAGAGTAAGACATAAAACAGTGTAAGACATAAAACAGTGTAAGACATAAAACACTGTAAGACATAAAACAGTGTAAGACATAAAACAGTGTAAGACATAAAACAGTGTAAGACATAAAACAGTGTAAGACATAAAACATGTAAGACATAAAACAGTGTAAGACATAAAACAGTAGTAAGACATAAAACACGTGTAAGACATAAAACAGTGTAAGACATAAAACAGAGTAAGACATAAAACAGTGTAAGACATAAAACACTGTAAGACATAAAACACTGTAAGACATAAAACAGTGTAAGACATAAAACACTGTAAGACATAAAACAGTGTAAGACATAAAACATGTAGATAAAACAGAGACATAAAACAGAGTAAGACATAAAACAGTTAAGACATAAAACACTGTAAGACATAAAACAGTGTAAGACATAAAACAGAGTAAGACATAAAACAGTGTAAGACATAAAACAGTGTAAGACATAAAACACTGTAAGACATAAAACAGTGTGCTAAAGAGACATAAAACAGTGTAAGACATAAAACATGTAAGACATAAAACATGTAAGACATAAAACAGTGTAAGACATAAAACAGAGTAAGACATAAAACACTGTAAGACATAAAACAGTGTTAAGACATAAAACAGTGTAAGACATAAAAACATGTAAGACATAAAACAGTGTAAGACATAAAACATGTAAGACATAAACACGTGTAAGACATAAAACAGTGTAAGACATAAAACAGTGTAAGACATAAAACACTGTAAGACATAAAACAGTGTAAGACATAAAACAGAGTAAGACATAAAACACTGTAAACATAAACAGTGTAAGAATAAAACAGTGTAAGACATAAACACTGTAAGACATAAACACTGTAAGACATAAAACAGTGTAAGACATAAACACATGTAATGACAAAACGTGGTAAGTACATAAAACAGGTAAGGACATAAACCTGTAAGACATAACAGTGTAATCATAAAACAGAGTAAGATCATAGATGACAATCCGGAAAAATAGTTGAATGGATAAAATCATTGAGCTAATTTGAATTACATCACTGTGATATTCTAAAATATATAATAATTATTTTAGAATGCAAGAACTGTTTTACTAAAGGAAGGATTGATCCAAGGGACAGATAACAATTTCATAAGAAGGGGGAACACGAAATTCCAGTAGGCAAAAATAAGTTAATGGCCTTAATATATCAATTATCATTATTTGTTTCTTGTATTGAATTAGAAAAATTAATTAATTTACAATAAGAAACTCTGTTTTAATATGAATGAAGAGGGTGAGGTCGTAGATGACGAAATAGCTTCATTAAAAGGCGATTAACCGACCCATAAAATAATTGTAGTACCTGTTGCTTGGAAATAAGTTTAAATAACAAAAGTGTATCATAAACTAACGATCGTTCAGTCGTGGTGTAACATTTTAATTGAAAAGAAACAAAGCTTACAATTTTAGGATGTGACAAAAAGAAAACTTTGTATAAAAAGAAATGTAATGAGAAAGGAGGTATGAGAGAGTAAATTTCTTGTGGTAAGCTTTATATAAATGCACCGACTAAACCGTCTATAAAACTGATGTAGAAAGAGCAGACAGGAAATAAGTCACCTTTGTCTATGGTAGTATAAGATTAAGACAAAAGGAGTAAAGCAAGATGAGGGGTTTGGGCATTAACAGGGTGTTTTCCGAGGATTAAACTCTTAAATTTATTTGGTGAGAGTCCCATATATAGTGAATAATCATGAAAGAATCATTAATTAGAAGAAGTTAGTGAATAGACTAAATTGACATGCATGAGCCTCGGTAACTAATCAAGTATAACGCATGCCGATCCGTCTACTGAAAGACCTAAGGCCGAGTTTAAAGGAAGGACAGGCAAGGAAAAACAGTGAAGATTTATTTAGATACCTGGGCAACTGGAGACCACTGATACCATATGACTGGTTAAGGTAGGTCCAGGAGGTTGGCATGGGCCCCTTGTCTTACAACGGGATGTCAGGAGGCAGAACCTCGCCTCATCGGAATGACTGTAGCTGTTCCAACTGGTGAAGTAATCATAATATATATTATAAGAAAAAAATATTACAGGGAAGTAAGTAATATGACTAAAATCTTGAGCTCGAGATGCAATGGAAGTTCTTGAAAAATACTGCTATTAAGCAGCAGTGGGCCAGTCAACCAATGGAAACAAACTTATCTTTCAAACTGCTGGTAAGAGGAAAGAACTAATGGAGAATAAATTACTAAACAGGTAGATCAGTGTAATATTGGGGCAGCGGCCCTCGCAACAACAGTCCGGTTGACAGCTAGCACCAGGAACTGGCCCATGGCCGGGCTCCGGAGTAGAAAGCTCTCGAGACTCATCGGTAATTATATAGCACTTGTAAATCTGAGGAGATACAGAAGATACCATGAAGAAGACAACATTACAAGTAATGTGAGGGAAAAGTTTAGTATAGGAGTAGGGAAATTATGAATGTACGATGATGGATGTTTGTTAGCAGTCTGCTAGTTAAGGCAGGTGGAGTGTCTACCTCTCGCTACCCCACCCCCCTTCCTCTTTTCACCCGATGGGAGGTGATGTGTGAATCTCCAACCAATGGAGAATCACTTGACTGGCTGCTTCCATCAAACCTGTAAGTATGCGTTCCACTCCCGTACTGTTTATTCTATTATGTACCAGATTTTACAGAAACATTCAGGTAAAGAGAAATAATAATAAAGTGAAAGCTAAACAACAATCATAACAGAGGTTATACAAAGTTCGAATGCAGTGCATTAGGAATATAAAAATAAGGAATCTCAGGAGCAAAAAACAGAAGAAATACGATCATCCGCGTTCCAGTTGATGAATAATTATAATTAAACAAAGAATGAAGTAAGTGTTTTTAATATATGCTGATACTTTCGCCCTGGAATGTGCAACACGTCAATAAGTAAAAACAAATTGGCCATATCCCACCGAGGAAGGGTGACCTAAAAAAAAAAACGAAAGTTTTTAGTCGCCTCTTACGACACGCATGGCTTACGGAGGAAGAATTCTGTTCCACTTCCCCATGGAGATAAGAGGAAATAAACAAGAACAAGATCTAGTAAGAAAAGAGAGGAAACCCTAGAGGGGTGTGTATGTGTATAGTTGTACATGTATGTCTAGTGTCACCTAAGTGTGAGTGGAAGTTGCAAGACGTACCTGAAATCTTGCATGTTTATGAGACAGAAAAAAGACAATAGCAATCCCACCATCTTGTAAAACAATTACAAGCTTCCGTCGAACACTCACTTGGCAGGACGGTAGTACCTAACTGCTACTCACCCACCTCAGACACCACTACTCACCCACAAGAATCACCACTACTCACCCACCACAGACGCCACAACTCGTGCACTCGATTCCACACAATCCACTGCACTCTAAATGTTCTCTACACCCTCTCCACGCCTCCTCCACCTCTACACGCCTCTTCCACCCCTCCACGTCTCCTCCACGCCCTCTATTCTCCCTGCACGCCCACCACAACAGCTGTCTCACAGCGTGTAAACAGCGGAAACTCTTTCCTCGTGTGAATGTCATAAGTAAATAAACAAAAGACAAGATGATAAAGAATGTAACTGCTGAGTTACGCCTCCCCTTCCCCTCAACTCCCCCCTTCCCTCAGTGTAACAATCTCACCCCTCCCCACCCCCTCCCCTCAGTGTTACTCTCTCACCCCTCCCCGTCCCTCTCCCCCTCCCATCAGTGTTACTCTCTCACCCCTTTCCCTCCCTCACCCCCTCCCCTCAGTGTTACTCTCCCGCCAGTTCCCCTCCCCCACCCCCTCCCATCAGTGTTACTCTCTCACCCCTTCCCCACCCCCTCCCCTCAGTGTTACTCTCTCACCCCTTCCTCACCCCCTCCCCTCAGTGTTACTCTCCCACCCCTTCCCCTCCCCTACCCCCTCCCATCAGTGTTGCTCTCTCACCCATTCCCCTCCCCCTCCTTTCAGTGTTACTCCCTCACCCCTTCCCCACCCCCTCCCCTCAGTGTTACTCTCTCACTCCTTCCTCACCACTCCCCTATGTGTTACTCATCCTTTCCCCACCCCTCTCCCCTCAGTGTTACTCTCTCACCCCTTCCTCACCCCCTCCCCTTAGTGTTACTCTCTCAGCCCTACCCCTCCCCCACTCCCTCCCATCAGTGTTACTCTCTCACCCCTTCCCCACCCCTCCCCTCAGTGTTACTCTTTGATCCCTTCCCCACCCCCTCCCTCAGTGTTACTCTCTCACCCCTTCCCCACCCCTCCCCTCAGTGTTACTCTCTCACCCCTTCCCCTCCCCCACCCCCTCCCCTCAGTGTTACTCACTCCTTCCCCACCCCCTCCCCTCAGTGTTTCTCTGTCATCCCTTCCCCTTCCCCACCCCCTCCCCTCAGTGTTACTCTTTCATCCCTTCCCCACCCCCCTCCCTCAGTGTTACTCTTTCATCCCTCCCCCACCCATCCCCACAGTGTTACTCTTTCATCCCTCCCCCCTCCCCCACCCCCTCCTCTCAGTGTTACTCTCTCATCCCTTCCCCTCCCCCCACCCCCTCCCTAAGTGTTACTCTTTCGTCCCTCTCCCACCCCCTCCCCTCAGTGTTACACTCTCATCCCTTCCCCTCCCCCCACCCCCTTCCCTCAGTGTTACTCATCCCTTCTCCACCCCCTCCCCTCAGTGTTGCTCTCTCACTCCTTCCCCACCCCTCCCCTAAGTGTTACTCTCTCATCCCTTCCCCACCCCTCCCCTCAGTGTTACTGTCTCATCCCTTCCCCTCCCCCACCCCCTCCCCTCAGTGTTACTCTTTCATCCCTTCCCCACCCCCTCCCATCAGTGTTACTCTCTCACCCCTTCCCCTCCCCCCTTCCCTCAGTGTTACTCTCTCACTTCTTCCCCACCCCCTCCCCTCAGTGTTACTCTGTTACTCCTCTTACCCCTCCCTCCCCTCAATGTTACTGCTACTCCTCTCCCCTTCCCATCCTCCCTTCATCAACATTACTGTCTCCGTTATTTATCAGTATTACCGCCACCGTCACACATTCTCCTCTCTTCTCTGCACTTCCTTTAGATTATGAATCTGACACAGTCTTCTTCTTAGATGTTTGCCGGTACTTCCGGCCCGGGTCTTCTCCAGCTGGTGACCCGGCGGTGGCCCCCTGGGGCGGGGGTGTCGTTCGTCTTCTTCATTCTTCTATCTTCTCTCTTGGGCCCTCCGGTTGGAGGGTAACTTCTTCTTCTATCTTGCATGGGCTCCCCAAGTGGGGAGTATCTGACACAGTCTTCTCCTTATGTCTTCTCCTTATCTCTACTTACCATCTCAGTAACTCTTGATCTCGTAAATTAACCTCAGTACATTATCAAAGGTCTTAACTACTGTTGTGCCCAGTCTGCACCTCAGTAAGTTTGTCTCTGCTGCTGTATTTTCTAACCATTACACTTTGAACGTTTCTCCCAACATTCCTTGGGCTTATCTGATTGTTTAGTTTCTTCGGGGTTCCTTGTTCTTGTCCCTACCATACCAGACAGTCAGTCCTTGTCTGCCCAGTCATTACCCTCAGCTCCCTGACCAGTCTGGTGGCAAACATCTTAAAACTGCAATTTCTTGTTTATCTTGCCTATGTTTGGGCTCCACGCTAATAATGCATCTTCAAGAGTTAGCTTGGATCACTGCTTGTTATGAAGGTTATGTGGTGACTTCAGAAGATAACTTCAGCAGTTACTTAATAGAACATTCAGGAAGCGATGTTAGATCAGCTTACTTGTCTTGTAGAACTGTGTTCTTAACGTTCTCGCTGGTTGTGTTATTTCACCTAACATTGATATGCAAAAGAAATATAGTTTAGTTGTCCTGGAGTACACTGTAGTTATCATATGGAACTTCACAGTTGTCCTGGATTATACTGTAGCTGTCTAATTAATCATTACATTGTAACTGTTGTGTCGTACAACGAAACACTGTAATGGGTACACTGTAGTTGATCTGGGATTCACTGTAGATGCTCTCGGGTGTAATGTAGCTGTCCTAGAGTGTCCTAGACACAATATCTATGCTGAAGTATACTGTAGCTGTCCTTTGGTACACTGTGACTGTCCGGGGTAGACAAGGTAGCTTTACTGAGGTACACTCTCTCTACCCAGCTGTACAATGTAGCTGTCCAGGGTACTCTGAACCAATCCTGCAGAATTCTGTAGCTGTCTTAGAGTACACTACCGCTGTTCTGGGTATTCTGTAGCTATATCACCCTACACTGAAGGTGCATCACCCTACACTGAAGGTGTATCACCCTACACTGAAGATGTATCACCCTACACTGAAGGTGTATCACCCTACACTGGAGGTGTATCACCCTACACTAAAGGTGTATCACCCTACACTGAAGGTGTATCACCCTATACTGAAGGTGTATCACCCTACACTGGAGGTGTATCACTCTACACTGAAGGTGTATCACCCTACACTGAAGGTGTATCACCCTACACTGAAGGTGTATCACCCTATACTGAAGGTGTATCATCCTACACTGATGGTGTATCACCCTACACTGGAGGTGTATCACCCTACACTAAAGGTGTATCACCCTACACTGAAGGTGTATCACCCTATACTGAAGGTGTATCACCCTACACTGGAGGTGTATCACTCTACACTGAAGGTGTATCACCCTACACTGAAGGTGTATCACCCTACACTGAAGGTGTATCACCCTATACTGAAGGTGTATCATCCTACACTGATGGTGTATCACCCTACACTGGAGGTGTATCACCCTACACTAAAGGTGTATCACCCTACACTGAAGGTGTATCACCCTATACTGAAGGTGTATCACCCTACACTGGAGGTGTATCACTCTACACTGAAGGTGTATCACCCTACACTGAAGGTGTATCACCCTACACTGAAGGTGTATCACCCTATACTGAAGGTGTATCACCCTACACTGGATTTGTATCACCCTACACTGAAGGTGTATCACCCTACACTGAAGGTGCATCACCCTACACTGAAGGTGTATCACCCTACACTGAAGGTGTATCACCCTACACTGAAGGTGTATCACCCTACACTGAAGGTGTATCACCCTACACTGAAGGTGTATCACCCTACACTGAAGGTGTATCACCCTACACTGAAGGTGTATCACCCTACACTGAAGGTGCATCACCCTACACTGAAGGCGCATCACCCTACACTGAAGGTGTATCACCCTACACTGAAGGTGTATCACCCTATACTGAAGGTGCATCACCCTACACTGAAGGTGTATCACCCTACACTGAAGGTGTATCACCCTACACTGAAGGTGTATCACCCTATACTGAAGGTGCATCACCCTACACTGAAGGTGTATCACCCTACATTGAAGGTGTATCACCCTACACTGAAGGTGCATCACCCTAC